ACAGGAACTGGATAAACCACAATAATCTTTTTTAAGCCAAACTCAAAAGACACTAAAGGAAATTTCCAGTTACCAAAAGCAGCACATACAAGCAAAGACAGAAGAATCCTGGGAGATAGTAGACTTGGTTGCAGTTCCTAAGAGCAAGAGACTAGAGCTGTCAAATCCCCATGAAAATTGGAGACGAGGCTTTGGACCCATACGAAGTGTGATGACAGATCATAGATCCCTGTGTAGTCCTGAGCCCCCTCTGTGTAAGGGAAATGAAAGTTCCCAAGGGAGCCAGAAAAGAAGCAAAGAAGCCTCAGGCCTGGTGGGCCCTCAGCCCTAGTCTGTGCCACACGGAGACATGACGTCCAAATGAATACTATCCACATGGTGTCTGAACCTCAAACTGACAAATTTCTATAAAAATTCATCCTGGACAAGTAAAATTTGGGGGACACCCAGCCACGGCAAATATAAACTTCTCTGTAAATACACTCCCACAAACCAATGTACATATGACTCACATGGACTGAAAATAATCCCAACTGAGATTGAGCCCACAAGCAAAAATTAAACCCACATGAGAAAAGAATTCACTACAAGGGGGCGTTATCAGGCACCACGGGCAGTGGATTGACATTCCAAAAAGTCTACAGTTTTATTTAAGCCTCAAAGCAATTTACTAGACGAATAAATGAGGCTGATGGGTAATTTACAGATAAGGAAAGTGAAGTTCAGAGAGTCTAAATGCTAATAAGGATTGAAGGCTTAAGTCCAGGCCCAGTGCTTTTCTACCACATTGCATTACCTCTGTTATTAATAAATGTGTGGCTGACACACCTGCTAATTGCATCACTCCTTTGATTCATATCAGACAGGACAGAAGTGATGTTCTTGGATTGGCAAAGGAGAACTCACATTCAGTCCATTTGATCTGAAACAATCCTTATGTTAAAAAAAAAATAAAAAAATAAAAAAATAAAAACAAAAAAAGAAGAAAGAGGGTATGGATCTTTGTGTACTCAAGAATTCTTATTGGGGTAAAAAGGAAGTGACAGTGTAAGAATTTGAAGCAGTTGGACAAAATAAAAAATAATAGGTAAATATCCATCTGAATTTTCGGAATGCCCAGAAGACAAGGATTTATACCTTGGTTCTGGTCTTTATTTTTCTAAGGTAGAACCATCATCATGGTGTCCCTGGAAGGCTACTTTAAACAGCTCTAACCCACAACCCTTCATGCCCGTTGTTCGGGACTTGGTATATAGCTCAGGCATTGTAGCAAAGCCGTAATTTCTCATCTCTTACGCCTTTACTAAATTACAATTAAATTCCATCATTCAAAACTGCCTGATCTTGAGCCAGATGCGTATATCACAGGAAACATTAAAATCTGACCTTTTATACCCCAATAAGAAATGTCACGAGTCCATCACAGAATCATAACTCCCTCCTGAATTAGAGCTGAGAAGGATCTGAACTTCAAAGGGGAACTCTGATTCCAGGAAAACCTGAGGACTTTTCTTTAACCATTAAAATAATGAATTCTAAAGAAAAAAAAAATGAGCTAGCTTGCGTTTCATAATAATGAGTAAATAGCAAGGTGTGAAAAAATGCTACAAACAAAAAGTGAAAAAGAAGCACATGGATACATGTCTTTGAAGTCAGTTCTAAGATTACTGGAAACTTGAAAATCAGTAACATTTCATCAGAGGCCCTAAAACCCAAAAGGATTCTCTATTTGGCGCTTTTGCTGGCTAAGATTTACATCCGGTGCCTTCATCAGTATAGATAGCACAGAGACTCTGCAGAGCACTGTGGGGCTGGGTGACTTTGGGGCTTGCTCTTAGAATATTTATCATTTTAACTCGGTAAAGAGCTCGTCCTTTGCCAGTGGGGAGATAAGCAGGCAGCCTTATCAGTCTTAGTGCTTTCGAAAGGTTTTCGTTCCACAGCCCACTGTGGAGCATCCATCTTCCCTCCGATGACCATCGGAGCCTGTGAGAGTGGAAAGTAGGTATTTAGACCTTTGTAAAGAAGATTCATTGAAATAAGAAAGAAAAAACTTAACTGAATAATAAGAAGAGAGATGGGGACAAGGATCAATCAGAGACAGAGATTCAAGAGCAATGGCAACTCTGCCCGGCCAAGGTTGTGGGGAGTGAGGGAGGCTACGAGGCAATTCTAATTGAAGAGTGTAGACTGAGGCCACACACAGGCACCTCCGCCCCCATCCACACAAAAGCAGACTCAGTGCCCAAGGGAAGGCAAAGCAGGATGGCTTTCCCGACATCCATCCATGTCTTCGTTTAATAAATAGTATTTACTGTGCTCCCACTGTGAATGCCTAGATTTCAGAGACATATATCATGAGTATGAGGAGTGGGAAATGATAAAGTATACAGGTAAAAATAAAATACTACTAACTCAGGAGAAGAAGAAAACATGTCAATTGTGGGGCTACGTGCCTTCATGAAGAAAATAATATTTGAGCCGGGCCCTAAAGAATAGGTGAGATTTGGACATAGGGATACACTGCTGGGGAGCACAGTGTTCTCGCGACCGCAGACAAGAGGCCACATGGTCATCAAGCTGGCCATGCTTCTCAACCTTCCCTGCATCTATGGATCAGGTGGGAAAATTTTTTTTTAAATCAAAGCTGGCATCCCACCCCCAGATATTCTGACTTAATTAATCTAAGCTGAGCCCAGGCCGGCGTAGTTTTGCTTTTCTGAACACGCCCCCAGGGGAATGCTAACATGTAGCCAGGGCCGAGAATCCCGCGCTAGAACAAAGCGGATGTGGAGGCCGGTATTTGCGTTTGGAAGTTTGTATCAGATCTTTACACAAATCCTAGCCCACTGTGTAGTGATTCATGAATTGACACAACTTCCCACAGAGAAGATATAGGAAGAGAGACCAAAATAAAAAGTGGACTTTGACTTAGTCCTAGTCCTTTGGGAGCTTCCACTTAACTTCATGGACACTGACTGG